AGGAAGCTTGTATTGTCTTAAATCTTCGTTCTACATGTATTAAAACTAAAACTTATGAAGTGAACTCAATGATATACAATTATATATTGTAGATCCTGTTGAATAAATCTGAACTATTGACTCAACATAGTTTGTTGGAATAGAGAAAACAAAATGATTGATAAATAAAATACGATTTCAGTTAGCCTAGTTTGTATACTCTCATTTCTATAGTATTACCTTCTTATATCCAGTTGGATTGTTAGTGATGATAACAGAAAGAGTGTTTACATTATAATATAGAATAAGACGGAAGAAAACATTTATTGATGAATCGAAATTCATTGATATTGCAACATACATGATTTGTCCATATTGTTTATTCTTTTAATGCAAGAAGGAAAACAAAATGATTATACAAAGTATAATTAGACATTTAAATGCTGTTGGATTCATATTTGATGCCTAATTAGTAAATAAATACAACAATTAACCACGCTGGATTATCTTTCATTATAATGCGTTTTTTTTATGTATTCACTTTTCGTTCTGGAAATTATCAGGTCTGTGTCGATAACATATTCTCTATGGATATGAGTATCAGTGAGGGCGTGAGTCAAGAGATAGCTCACACCGAAACTTTCCTTTCAATATTATAAAAAAAAAATCATCAGAAAAAATCAATAGGGTTTTCTTTTTGCTAGTTTTGTAAAGAAATCGACGGTTCATCTTTAAAAATAGTCACAGTGCTGTGTTTGCTTTGTGTCGAGTTATATGCAAAGTACGTGATGTTGCAAGCTTTTTAGTACACCTGATATTTTTTAGTAATAATATCTGTCGGTACTTTTTCTACAGAAAACATACATTTTGACATTGTATGCTTTTTATTACTTCTGACTACAAGAACACATTTACAATCAAGAACAAAAATTAACACAACAGTAATTTTTTACAAAAATATTCATAATAAATATTTTGTTACTCGATACTCAAAAACTTTGACATAGTACTCTCATTGATTCAATGAAATTTTTATAATAGTACGCCATGTCGTGCTACAGCCTTCGATAGCTCTGTTTCATAATCTATATCACTTGCTTTTGAATATTGTTCAGCGTTTCATTATATGAACACTATTATTATAATACGAGACTAAATAAATTTGGAATAAATATGTCCACTGAATAAATATGAAATTGAAAAAATAAAATCATCGTGATCTATGAAAATTGTGATGTCTTAAATGGATGAAAAATTTGAATAAAGCTTTACGAAACACTTTTCCACCAGCTAGTGTATAAATATAAAATGGCATTCCATTTCCTAAGAAATGAAGTAATTGAGAAAGATTATAAACCAAATTGTCAATGGCTACTTGTAATGCAGATGATGTTCTATCAGCCACTATTACTGCGTATAATTTCTGAAAACCTAATGGAACAGACAATACGACAAGAATAAAAATTTGTACAAAAAGCATAATTAATAGATTCTGATCTTGCTTGGACATTCGACGTCGTGGATTTGCATTGGTTGTTACCGTGTGTGAAACCATCAATGTATCTCTATTAGCTACTCGACCTCTTGACTGATGAATATTGCAAACAGTCATAAAACCAAACATTAACATGAGAGGCAAA